GGGGCGCCCCCCACCCCCTTTCTCGCTTCCCGCCACTGCGGCGGCCAATCACCAGGCAGGCGCCCGCCCCCGGCGCGGCCTCCTGTGGCCCCGCAACTCCCAAACGCCAAGTTTTCGCGGGAAAAAAATCAGAGCAGCTGGCAGCGCAGCGGGCAGTGGTGGCCGTCCGGGGGCTCGGGATCGCACGCACGTTCGCGCGGGGTCCCAGCCACACACGCGGTTCCTTTGCCATCCTCAGAAGGGCCGGCGCAAAATCAGGCGAGTGAATCGTGAGCAGTTAGGCGGATTGGGGTGCCAGCCCGGGCCAGGGCGCGGGTGGGCGGGTGGCGCGGGCAGGACTCGGCGCAACCGGTGCCTTGACTTTGCAAAACTTTCCGGGACTCTCGGCCAGCACGGGCGCACGCGTCCCCCGCGCCAGGGCTGCCCTACACACGGTCTCGGGCTCTGCCCCCAGCCCTGCCGGCCCTTAGGAGTCAATCCTGGCAGCCCGGGCTCGGGCAGGGGCGAGCGGAACATCCCTGGCGCCCCGCGGGGGTCGCGCCGGCTGGGTGGGGGAGGGCCCGGGGAGCCGCGGGGGAGGATGTCAGGCTCCGCGCCTGCGCGCGGGGTGCCCCGCGATTCAATTGTCGCGCCCGAGCCCGATTTCGCGCGCCCTTAGTTCCCCGGGCGCGTCTGGGCCAATGGGGAGCGAGCAGGGCGGGGCGGCCGGCCGCGGCGGAGCCAATGATCGAGGCGGCTCAAGTGAAGGGGGCGGGACTTGGCGCGCGGGCCCCTCGGCAGGTCCTGGCGGTGGGGGTGGGCGTGGGCTCGCCGGCTTGGCCCGCGCGGGCGGGCGGGAGAACAAGAGGGGCTCCGGGGCCGTGCGTCGGGGTCCGGGAAACGCAGGCTGGAGCTCGGGACAGCCGTGGGGCTGAGGTGAGTAGCGCTGCGCGCGCGGGGGCGACCGGGACGGGGCGGCCGGTTGCCATGGCCACCGCGGGGCGGGTGTGTCGCGCACGCGCGCGGGGGCGGCGGCGGGGGGCCACGAGCACCGGGGGTCCCGAGCTCCCGGGTCTCTGGTGGGCTCCTTCCCCTTCGGTCACACTTAGTTGAGTTCCCTGGGACTTCTGAAGTTCCAACCCGAGCCGGACTTTTGGGTTCCTCTTGCGTCAGTATTCATCCAGGGAATGAATGAATGGATGAATGAACAAACTCGGCCCCTGACCGTTTGGCTGTGTCCCGCTTCCTCCTCTGGACGCTGGTGGTTTTTTTTTCCCTCTGTGAAAGGCAGGGTGGGTTGACTGAGTGGTCCAGGATGCTTTTTCCTCTCCGCTAATTTCCTCTCCCTCCTCAGTCCTCCACCGGTGCTCCTCATTAATACATTAACTCCTTAATTCACTCAGCCAGGCCCTGGGCCAGCCGTGGCAGTCTAAGGGGATTACGGGGCTGGGAGGGCGTTCCAGGAGTTGCCTGGTGTCCACAGTCTGGACATTAATAGCAAGGATGACCTGAGTATGGCACAGCCCGGTGGTGGTGGTGACGGCAGAACTGACCGAGGGGTCCTGCTCTCTTGTCCTCCTAGCACCAGCAGGCACCATGTGGATCCAGGTTCGCACCATGGATGGGAAGGTGGCCCACACTGTGGACTCCTTGTCCAGGCTGACGAAAGTGGAAGAGCTGAGGAAGAAGATCCAGGAGCTGTTCCATGTGGAGCCAGGCCTGCAGAGGCTTTTCTACCGGGGCAAGCAGGTAAACCCGCCCTGCAGGCTGCCCGCCCGCTTGCCCGCCTGCCCGCCCAGCACCTTTGTTCTTGCCTCAATCCAGGCACCGCACACACACTCTTCCCCCGTCGTCCGGTCCGCTTCTCCACAGAAACCTCCAATGTCTGAGCGAGGAACAAAGGCTCTCGACTCCTAGACTGACACATCAGGCACTCGAATCTGTTGCCTTTGGGGGCTTTTAAACTCCCAGCCCACCCCGCTGCCTTTTTTTTTTTGACCCTCCCCTCAAAATAATTTCTAGAAAAAATAAGTTGGAGGTGGCCGATGGAGGGCTGATGAATTTCGAGGAAGAGCCTAGAATCAATACTGAGACGCTAGGATGGAAGGGACCAGGTTTTTCTTTGAAACACACACGCTGATGGCCCACGGTCTGCACCTATTTAGCTTCCGACCCCCACAGGGTTTTCTAGAAATTTGGATCAGCTTATTCAGAGTCGGAGATGGCGCTTGCTAATCAGGAATTTCCGCCACTTCTGGGCCTCCTCTCTGGCGGCAGCGGGGCCGCCCCTGATCAGGGGTTTGTGCTTTCCGCGGGCTCAGCTGGCCCTGCTCCTAGGTTTCCTTTCTTCGAGATTCCCCCACCCCACCCCCAGCCCCTGTAGCAATTGAAAATGGCCACCCTTGGTTTGTGGGCTGCCCACTTTGGGGACATTTTCTCTAGTGGCGCCCCTGAGGGTGTCCATTCTTGTTGGTGCGTGGGCAGGGGGGAACGGCAGGCCAGGCTGCGAGTGGGATTTCCCTGAGTGGGAGATGGTCTGAGAGAAAGTGTTGTTCCCATCTGCTGGGGCCACCCTGGAGTTGGGTGGCCTGTAGGGACCTCGGCATAGACAGCGCATGGGATTAAAAGTGTTCAGTCGGGCTCTCTGACTTTGTTGTCGCGTTTTGAACTGGGTGCTGCCGCCATCTGGTGTCTAGATTGAAAAATAAATGCTCCCCGCCTGGCCAGGATTTTTTGAGGGCTGGGAGGATCCTGCCTGCCTCCTGGAAATGAGACCTGATGATTAATTTCTTGGGCTCGAGGCGCCCTCCGAGACCTTTAACCTCCTTCCTGTGTGAGATATGAGGACTTGAATGTCTTAAGCATCTCAGTTAACGCTCCCCGCCTTGGGGAGGGAAAGCCGAGCTGGCGAACTCGGGGATTTGACTGCGGTCACGTGCGTGGCACCGGTGGATAAAAGGCAGGGCCGCGAGTGGAGCTCCCCTGAGATGCTGTTTCTCTCCCCTCTCCTCCAGCGGGGGCTCATTTTTGCAGCATCCAAACTGATTTCTATTTGCCTCTCAGTCTTTGTGTTCAGCAGAAGGTCCTTCCACCGAGCTTCTGAAGACCGCCGGCTAAACAGTTCGTGGCATCATCCAAAGGCGGGTTGGATCGAGTCCCCTTAAGTTCAAGGCAGTGAATATTTCTGGGTGCCTGCTGTGGGCATTTTAATCTTTACACTCAAAGACATGCAGAAAAGTTCAAAGAACCATGAACACCTAAACACCTACCCGTGGCTTTTAGCACTGACATTTCCCACGTTTGCTTTATCACTGCAGCTGTCTCCCTTGCCTTTATCCGTGCACCAGTCCATCTTATTTTGGAGGATGCATTGCAGAGAAAGTTCCAGGCACTGGTTCACGTCACCCCCTAAACCCTTCAGCATTGCCTGTCCTTAACTAGAGTACAAGGTTTGTTTGTGGTTCTTGTTTCTTTAGATGTAATTTGCATATAGTGAGACACGTCTTAAGCGGACTTTTTGGAGTTTTGACAAATGTCTACACCCATGTAACCAAACCGCTGCCTCCCTGCATCAGGAACATAATAGATGATCCACACGAAGGCTTACAAAAGCCTCCGTAACGTCTGTGTGAGTTAAAAAGTGTGATGATAAGCATCGTGCCTCTAATCATCAGGATATCGGCGCTGAGAGACAGCTCCGAACCCTGCCTTCTCGCAGCACAGCTTTTGAAGTTCTCAGAAGGTTCCACGTTCCCACGGGACCTCTAACTGCCACTCACCCCCTTCCCTGCGCTCACTCTGCGTTCAGCCCGCTGAGCGGGCCAATGCGTAGCCGGTTCTGTCTTCCGGGTAAGGAGGCCAGGCCTCAGCCGTGATGCAATTTCCCCAAGGTTGCGCGACCAGGAAGTGGCCCAGCCTCACAGGAGGTGTGGACAGTGCCAGGAGGGTGGGGAACAAAGGCACACAGCAATAACACCTTGAAGCAAGTCAGGTCGACAAACAGACTGGGCTAATCACGATAGGAAGCAGTGCAATTTCCAGCGGGTGCAAGATAGCTGTTGTTTTTACGGAATGTTCTAGAGAGTGTTCGAGATCCTTTCCCTTCTTTTGCTTTTCCTTTATAAAGAAACGGCATCTCAGTCCAAGGTCTGCAGTGAGGTCGACGGAGCCAATAAAGCAGAACAAGAGTTGAGTCTTTCTTCAGGATATGGGAGGGTTTCGTGGCAGCTTGCTTAGGCTGAATAGGTTGGCGGTTATGTCACTTGATTGACGGAAATGCAGGGAGCTGAATGGGGGAAGGGACGCCAGGCTGCCGGCCCATCCTGGGCGAAGGCGAGAGGCATCCGGCGCCTCTTTTTTTTTTGGCTGCCCGGAAAAAAATAGCAGTAGCTGTCGTTTGTGGTGCCTTTAACGCAGTCAGGTACAATGGTTGCGCTTAATCTTCCCAAGTGCCCTAGCCAAGTGTCTCTGGCCAGGGTCAGTCTCTGTGCTTTCCCATCAGGTGGGGCTAATTGCGGACCCACCACATGTGCAGGGTGAGAATTCAGTGAGGTCATGGATGCAGGAATGTGCAGGGAGGGGGCTGGTGTTTGAGCTTTGCGCCTGGTTCACGGTAAAGGAGCAATAAATCATTTGGTGCAGGGCCTTCCCCTGGGCACTGCTGACATCAGGGCCAGATCATCCTCCGTGGGGGGCCGTCCTGGGCGCTGTGGGGTGTGGAGCAGCCTCCCTGGTCTAACCCACATGATGCCAGGAGCCCTCCCCCAGTCATAAAGATCACAAAGTCCCCAGATGTTGCCAAGTGCTCCCTGGGGCAAAATTGTCCCCAGTTGAGAACTGATGATTTAGTAGGTAATTAAGGAAAGCAGTCTGAAAGATCAGGTGAAATGGCATCCTAGGAATGGCCTTTGGAGGGTCACTCATGTCACAGTGCCTCACCAGGTGTCCCTGCTGGATTGGCTTTTCCTGAATGTCAGACCGTTTTCCCAAAGGACAGGGTTAGGTGGCAAATAAGACAGTCTCCTCCTGGAGACCTGTCCTTCTGGCTGGGCTGTATGAGGGAGGGTCCCTTCCTCCCCACCCCTAGAGCTCCTGGCTGGAGACATGCCCTCTAGGTCAGGGATTAGCAAACCCTTTCTGTTAAGGACCCAGTGGTAACTGTCTGTGGGCTGTGCAGTCTGTCCGCTCACCTCTGCCATTGAAAGTCCTGAACTGAACACCGAGCACAAATGAATGGGTGTGTCCTGATTCAGGTCGTAGTAGAACTTTATTTACAAAACAGGGACAGCTGGAACTGTCCCGCTGGCCAGGGTGTGGCAGTTGCTTGCTAGCTTCCTCCTGGGGTGGTAGATCCAGGTTGTACCTCAGGAGCAGGCAGCTGTGGGATGTGCTGGACCGCATCTCTCTCCAGCGCATGGGTGCTCACACTGTTTGGACTGAGGACCCCTTTCCACCCTCCAAAGCGATAGAGCACCCCAAAGAGTGTTGTGGATGTTCATCATGTCTTGTCGTTTCTTATCCTATTAGAAATTGGAAGCTGAGAAAAGTTCACAGCTCGAGAAAACACTAGGGCACGTTCCCTTAGGCACAGGCTCTGGTACCCCCTGCAGGATCACAAGGCCGAAGATGGCCAGTGACATCACGATGTCACCACGCGATAGATAGCCTAGGCCTTGCAGACCCCCGAAATGCCGCTCCAGGGCATAGCCTCGGCTGTGGCCCGGCGGGGTCAGAGAGCAGAGTTCACTTGTCAGGACTTACCCATGGATGGGCTGGGATGTGAATAGAGGGTCGTGCCTCTGTGTCGTGTCCCCCCACCCTGCCCTGGTGGGAAATGTGCCCCTGTGCCACGGCTGGGATCCTGCTTCGTACCTTTTCTTCCCTCCCCTCTCTGTCCATCCATCAGTCTGTCTGGCCTGAACCCCAGGTTGCTCTGGAGGCCTAGATGGGAAGGTGTGGGCTGGGGCCATAGCCCCAGGAGGGGGAGGCCGCGTGGTGTCTCACTTGCTCTCTCTCCCAGCCCGACCATCGGGCGTTACAGACACCCCCTGCCCTCCTCTGGCCGGAGGTCCATCCCTGCTTGGAGCTCACGCGCCCTCCTAGGGGGCCTGCGGTCTGGTTTACACCCTCCACTGCTCTTGATGGCCGCCTCTAAGCCTGCAGGAGAACCACCCCTCGCCAAGCCCAGGGATGCTTATAGCCTGTGCTCTTTGCCTCTGGGCAGCACTCAGTGCCTGAAAAGTAGCCCCACAAAATGCCCCGAGGGGGCAGAAAGTGAGCCGGAAGTGTCACTGTGGTGAGCTTTGAATCCAGGCTTCGGAGAGGTGTTGTAAAGCGGTCTCTGTGTTTTATTTCACTTTGTGCCATGCGTGTGCCCAGAATTCCCAATGTCCGGGAAGCTTCCCAATTAAAAGAGAGAGGAATGTGATCTAAATGCCCTGGGCGGCTTTGCCTTTACACTTGAATCTGCGGAGCAGGGTCACCTGCCCCACACCATGTGTATATGTTTTACTACAGGCAGTTTAAGGGATTTTCACCTGGAATTTTGGTTATGCAGGATTTTAACTGCACGTTTAATTTTAACATGAGAACCTGCAACCTCAGGTACTGCTCGCCTGTCATTCACTCTGCGTAGCTTTTATTAATGCCTGTAGCCTCAGTTGGAGTTTTAGGGTCTTAGAAGGAACCTAGACTCGGCACATTTGGTCCCCTTGCCTGGGGCCAGCCCTCCCCCCGGCCAGCAGCGTTGGGGAGAGGGGCACCCGACACACCCTCTCACCATGGCAAGCGGTTGTGCGAGCACCTTCCTGCCCACTGCGGGGCCCTTCTGGAATGTTCCAGAGGTGGTCCCAGGAAGCAGTCAGACCAGCCCATGCATTTCGTCCTGTAGGCAGAGCCCTGGGCCAGCCTGCCCCAGCGCGTGGCGCCTTCCGTACCCAGCCCACCCTGCTTGTGCCTCTGTCCGATGTGCACTGGGGGGGGGGGGTGTGTGTGTGTGTGCGGGTGTGTCGGTGTGAGTGCCTCTTGTCTCTCGGGCTCTCAGACCCGTCACAGACGTGTGGGGCTGGCATCGTGGTTAGAAAATGCCGGGAGAGAGGAGACGAGTGGGTATGCAACCCGGCCTCTCCACGGCTTCCTCAGGATTCCTCCCCCCCCGTTTTTTAGCCGCGGGCCCTTCTGACCACCCCTGCTCCCCGCTTCTCCCTGCACACCCCCCCGCTGCCATTCTGGTGCATTCCGCTTCTCCCCTTAGCTCTGCTGCCCCATCTCCCGCTTGACCTCCGTCCCAGTGCTCCTTGCAAAACAGAAGCCCGGCCCCGGCTCTCTCCCCCACACCCCCACACCGCCCCCTCCGGGTGCTTCCGTTTATTTCCCATCCTCTGAAACCATCCTTCCTCCCTTGACGTGTGTGGCAGACGCATCTACTTTCCTGCGTTTAACTGTCACACGCAGCTGTGTAACATGCCTTGGTAGGAACGAGTCACGGTTTTGCTTGCAAATGATGCTGCCGTGAGCATAGTGGGCACTGGGCTACCTGTCCCTCCGGTGCGCACCTGAGGGCCTCTAGCTCAGTGGTTCTCACCCGGGGCCATGCGGCCCCGCTGGGAACACTGGGTGGTGTCTGGGGACGTCTGTGGTTGTATGACTGGGAGGCTGCTCCTAGCATCGAGTGGATGGGGCCAGGGAGGCTGCTCCACACCCCACGGTGCACAGGATGGCCCCGCACAGAGAATGACCGGCCCCGAATGTCCGCAGTGCTGAGGGGTGTCTCCCTAGCTGTGGAGGCACTGGGCGCCGGGTGCCTGCATCCTGTCATCTTTTTTTGTTTTGTTTTGTTTTGTTTTCCGGTACGCGGGCCTCTCACTGCTGTGGCCTCTCCCGTTGCGGAGCACAGGTTCCGGACGTGCAGGCCCAGCGGCCATGGCTCACGGGCCCAGCCGCTCCGCGGCATATGGGATCTTCCCGGACCGGGGCACGAACCCGTGTCCCCTGCATCGGCAGGTGGACTCTCAACCACTGTGCCACCAGGGAAGCCCCTGTCATCGTTTTTAATGACGTTTGGCTTACTCTCTGCTGGTTTCCTTATGATAGTGGTGCTGGAGACACTTGTCTTTCTGCATCTATTTTTATTTTTTCCATCTATTTTTTTTTTTAAGAAATTAACTTTATATTTTTAGAGCAGTTTTAGGTTCACAGCAGAATTAAGAGGAAGGTACAGAGATTGCCCATATACCCCCTGCCCTGCCCCCCCCACCACCACTGTGCACACCTGTCTCCCACCAGATGGTGCATTTGGTACAACTGATAAACCTATGTTGACATATTAACATCACCCAGAGTCCATAGATTACATTTGGGTTCACTCTTGGTGTTGTACACTCTATGGGTTTGGACAAATGTGTAATGATGTGTATCCACCGTTATGGTGTCATACAGAATAGTGTCACTGCCCTAAAAAGCCTCTGTGTTCTGCCTGTTCCTCCCTCCCTCCCTCCCTCCTTCCCTCCCTCCCTCCCTCCCTCCCTCCCTTTACCTCCTGGCTGCCACTGATCCTTTTAATGTCTCCATAGTCGTGCCTCTTCCAGAATGTCTTATAGTTGGCATCATACAGTCTGTAGCCTTTTCAGATTCTTCTTTTAAAAAAAAAGTCTTTATTGGGATATAATTTGCATACCATACAATGTACCCATTTAAAGTGTGCAATTCACTGGTTTTCAGTGTATTCATGGGGACTTGAACCATCACCACAGTCGATCTGGGGACATTTTTATCACCTTCAAAGGAAGTCCTGCACCGTTTATTGATCACTCCCTTACCCCCCTCCCCAGCCCGTGGCCACCGCGAATCCAGTTTCTGTTTGATTCCTCTAGGGATGTCCTATCCGTGGATTCTGGCAGTATGTGGCCTTTGGTGTCTGTCTTCTGTCTCTGAGCATCATGTTCTCAGGGTCCATCCACAGTGTAGCAAGTGTCAGTGCTTCACCCCTTTTTAGGGAGGATGGCCATCCTGTGTTGATCCATTCACCCGTCAGTGGACCCTGGGTTGCGCCACCCTTGGGCTTCTGTGCGTCATGCTGCTGTGACCACACGTGTCGTCTCTCTCCGCTGTCACGGCTGTCCTGGGTCGGCCCTGTGTTGGAGGGCTGGCGCTATCTCATTCCCTGGCCCCCTCTGGCATCTGGGCAGTGGTGGGCACATTGGAGGCTCTTGCTGGGCTCCGGGTGAACAGGTAGCGTGGGCCCGGGTGTCCAGGGTGGGCTTTGGAGGGACCCTGGTGGCCCCTGCAGCTGCAGGCAAGTGTTGGTGTGTTCAGATGTGCCTTTCTCCGGAAGAGGGGTCAATCAGCCATCTGATTCTCAGGTTTGCAATGAATAAGATGAATAAGGATTAACAACTACTGCAGCGAGTGCCCTGGAACTTGTCTTCCCTGTGACCCCAGGTGCTGTTTGCATATCAATGGCAATCAGCCCTTTGAACCACGAGCTTTGGGTTGAAAAGTGGGAAGGAGGGAAAGCCGATCTTTTGTGTGTTCTTCCTTCCCTTAGGGCACCGCTTCTGAACAGGTTGTTCTGCCTGGGGACACTGGGTGATGTCTGAGGCCATCAGTTGGTTGTCACGACCGGGGTGGGGGTGGGGCAGGGGTGCTGCTCAACCTTCACCCCCTGCGGTGTCCATGATGGCCCCCCCAACAGAGTGATCACCGGCGGTCAGCAGAGCCTGCCTTAGGGTCTTCTGGAGGCTGAGGGTCCTCATTGGGTGTTGGTGGAGTGCCCTGGGGCAGCTTCTAATAAAAGCCCCAGTGCAAAGCCTTTTGTTCCCTAGGGGTGCCCTAGAGATGCAGCTCAGAAGACAAACTCCTTCACACACCTGATGAGTCACGCCTGGTGCAGATTGTAGAGCCCCACCGGCTCCCAGGCTCCCCATCAGCCAGTGACTAGTGTGGGTGGAATTCATTAGCACAAAGGAGTTAATAGAGAGGCGGCCCGAGTGGATGAGGTTTGAGCTAGAGCCTTATAAGGCACCTGATGGATGTCACGGGGCACCCACCCTTTGGTTCATGCAGGCCAGCTTCCCCACCTCGCCCTCCCCGCACTGTGGACATCAGGGCAGGTAATTCTCTGTGGGGGCCGTCCTGGGGATCCTTAGCGCCCCCAACCCCATCATGACAACCAAAAATGTCCCTAAGGCATCTCCCAGCGTCCCCTGGGGGAAGGGTCACCTTTGATTGAGAGCCAGGGATACAGGTGATGTGTGTTTACTGTAACAGAAGTTCCAAAGCACATAAAGTATTAACACCTCCCCTGATACCCGATGCGTAGCCACGGCACAGCGTGGTTAGGCTGTGTGCTCCCGGGGAACGTTCCCCGAGTGGCAGCAGCCGTCCTCACTTGAGAGGGCCTGGGGACCCTGAGGAAGTGGTCACTGGGCACCCCGGGGCGTGGGCAGGCTTCACTTGCCGGTGGTCTGTTCCAGGGCGGGGCCTCCACGAGGGCTTGTGTGGTCCTTTGCCCATGGTGAGCTCTCTGTGTCTGCTGACCTAGTCCCGTGTCCCTGCAGATGGAGGACGGCCACACGCTGTTTGACTATGACGTCCGCCTGAACGATACCATCCAGCTGCTGGTCCGGCAGAGCCTCGTGCTGCCTGCCCCCAGCGGCGGTGGCACCGGCGGTGGCAGCAAGGAGAGGGACTCTGAGCTCTCCGACACGGACTCCGGCTGCTGCCTGGCCCAGAGCGAGTCTGACAAGTCCTCCAACAGTGGCGAGGCTGCAGCCGAGCCGGAAGGGAAGGCCGACGAGGATGAGTGGGATGAGACGGAGCTGGGCCTCTACAAGGTGGGGCTCCCGCGGAGGCCGGGGTTGGTGTGCTCCGCCTGGTTGGTGCCTGTACCCCGGGAGCGCCCCCCAGCCCTCCATCCCCGAGGCTGGGCACCCCCGTCCTGTCGTGACCATCTCCCCAGGGTTCCTTGGCGGAAACATAGGTACTCAGGGATTCCTTCCTAACCCCTAAAGTAGAATCCCATGTCCGGGCCTGTGGGTGTCTTCCCTGTGGTCCTCACAGGGGCTGTCAAAGTCCTGATCCGCTGCCATCCTCCCCCTAAGATCATGACATTTCACGGAAGGATCTGGATTCCCAGCTTCTATGGAAAAATGGGCAGTTCTGGCCTCCCTGGGCCGGGCGGCAGGGGTGTTCTGTCCCCAGGGACACTGGGAGGTGCCTGGGGACATCTGTGGTTGTCATGACTGGGGATTGCCTGGCATCGAGTGGGTGGGGCCAGGGTTGCTGCTCCGACACCCCCAGGGCCCAGGACCGCCTCCCTCTGGAGAACGACCCAGGCCCCGTGTCCTCAGTGCCACAGTGAGAAGCATCCGGGCCCAGGAACCAAAGCAGGCTCTTGGCGGTTTTGCTCGTCAGGCATCCCTTCCCTGGGCCGAGTGAGAGCTCTCTGCCCCCGCAGGCTGGTGAGTACGTGGACGCGAGGGACACGAACATGGGCGCGTGGTTTGAGGCCAAGGTCATCAGGGTGACGAGGAAGGTGCCGGCCCAGGATGAGCCCTGCAGCTCCACCTCCAGCCCGAAGCTGGAGGACGACATCGTCTATCACGTGAAATACGACGAGTGAGTATCCGCGGGGCAGGCGGGCCTGGGGCGGCGGCTCCATGGACGTGGGACCTGGAGTTTGGAACTGCGTTGGGGGTGATGATCGGGATTTGAGACCCCACCCTCATGCTCCCAAACCACACGGAGGCCCCCCCACCCTGAGGACCAGCGTCGTGGGGACCTCGTCGGAGAGCCCTGCCCAGTCGTCCCCTCAGGGTTGCAGTCTCCCTGTTTCCTGTGCCATCTTCTTCATACCACATAGCACTGCGTGCTACCATCTTAGGTGTCCTCTCTTTCCC